CAACTTATAACTCATGCATGATATCAAATACTTAAATTCTAACAAGAATCACTTATACTAATCATGCTTTGCTAATAACATGATTCAATCATCAAATACAAGCATGAATTATCTCCTTCAAGGACTTGAAATTTGAAAGACTTGATATGAACTTGAATATGAACTTGAATATCTTGAAAATCCTTTACTCCAAAATACTTCTCCTCACTTAAATACTCAATATAACTTTGATACTTTACTTTGGTGTAAAAATCTGATTTTTGAAGCCTCTATTTATAGCCAATACTTTGGAATAAAATATTTGGAGTGAAGAAATTAACAAATTAAACAATTTAAAACTTGTAAAAATTAATCACTTAAACAAGTCCTTACCAAACATTTCAAATTTTCAGCTAAGCATATTTAATTGCTCAAAATACACTTTAGTTGGCATCAAACTCGAATCATAAAAATCTGAAATTTTGTCGGTTACACGACCAGTGTCACTAGTCACACGACCCGTGTGACGCCACACGACCCGTGTCACCTAAGTCACACGACCCGTGTGAACTCACACGACCCGTGTCACTTAAATCACACGACCCGTGTGAAAAAAACGAAGCTAAACTTGAATAGTGCCTTGAGCCACACGACCCGTGTGCCTTGTCACACGACCCGTGTGACTTCACACGACTAGTGTGGCTACCCACACGACCCGTGTGACTTTAATACTTTAAAATTTTAACTTTTTAAGCCTCAAAATTGCTCAATCTTGGAAATAAACTGATACTTATTACTAATAACTGAATGGGATATTACATTCTACCCCCCTTAAAACTATTTTCGTCCTCAGAAATACTGAAATTGGGATATATATTATCTGAATATATATCACAAACTTTAAAATCTAAAACTCTAACATCAGTTTATCCCTCCCAAATGGCATCTTATTCTCTGTGGCAATTCCATTTTATACAAACGAGGGGAATATCTCGATTCCTTAGCCAATGAACCTTTTGGTCTAAAACTGATACCGGCTATTCCTCGTAATTTAAAATTTACTAAATCGAAATCTCATTGTGCTAAAGCACATAATTTGGATTGCTCACGTATATACATATCATCAATACGTGAAAAACATTACTCATACTAACCAACTTGGGAGGTAAAACTTAATGTTAGAATACTTTTTCTACTAGTTCAAAGAACTTTGAACGGACTTATACGAAAAGAATGCAACTTACCGAACGACACTTGTCATTAGTCGAACTTTCAGATA